TCCAGATTCAAAAGTCTATACGACAATAAACACACATAAAGGACTCTACCAATATGAAAGACTATGTTTTGGCATATCATCCAGCCCTGGAATTTTCCAAGCTGTCATGGACAGTATTTTTAAGGATATTCCAAATGTTTGTGTGTACTTTGACAATGTGTACATAACTGGTAAGAATGACACTGAACATCTTAAAACACTTGATAAAGTATTGAAAATTGTTGGTGAAAAAGGTTTAAAGATAAACAAAGATAAATGTCAATTCATGTTGACAGAAATTAGTTTTCTTGGTTATATATTGAGCAAACAAGGCATCAGACCTCAACCTGAGAAAACAAAAGCCATTAAAGAAGCACCCAAACCTGAAAATACCCAACAACTAAGAGCTTTTTTGGGCTTAATAAATTACTATGCAAAGTTCATAGGAAATCTGTCTGGTAAACTATCACCACTGTACAAGCTGCTACAGAAAAATGCAACTTGGCACTGGGGTAAACAACAAGATACTGCTTTTACTACAGCAAAAGAGGCTTTGTCTTCTGACACCTTACTAACTCACTATGACCCAGGGAAAAGACTTATCTTAACATGTGATGCTTCACCAGATGGTGTAGGAGCAGTCTTGTCCCACATGGATGAGAAGGGTGACAGACCCATTGCTTTTGCCAGTAGATCTTTGAACCAGGCTGAGAAAAATTATTCTCAGTTAGATAGGGAAGGCTTAGGCATCAATTTTGGTATTAAGAAATTTCATAAGTTTCTGTTTGGTAGGAAGTTCACCATCTTTACAGATCATAAACCATTGCTAGGTTTATTTGGAGAAAACAAAACCCTACCTGAGCATGCCTCACCAGGAATTCAAAGATGGGCTATCACACTAACTGCATACAATTATGAATTGAAATACAAACCTGGATCTGAGAATAGTGCAGATAGTCTTAGTAGATTACCTTTAAAAAACCAAAGCCTGAGCTATGTACCAGAAGATGTATTTGTTCTCTTCACTATCATGGATAACTCCAATATAAATGTGAATGATATTAAAAGAGAAACACAAAAAGATGAGTGCTTAATAAAAGTATATGAGTACTGTAAGAATGGTTGGCCTGAAGAGTCTGTGAATGATGACTTAAGGCCATATTAAATAAGAAATAAAAACCTTTGTGAAGATAATATAAAAGATGGAGAAGATGCAGTCCATTATCAGTCAGAGTTGCCTAAACAAAGTATTTGTAACTTAATAAATGATTATGGTGATATGGCAATTTTAAATGTTTTAAAAGAGAATACATAAGTAAGAAGGAATGTGATCATCAAACAACCTTGCTAACATCATTAGCACTTACAGAAACTAAAAGGGTAACATCAAAAGAAAAGAAAAAAGATTTTTGCCATTTAATACACCCATTTCAAATACTGGATCACAGTTGCAAAGTGATATTGTCCAGGATATTACTTTTAAACAGTATTTTTGGTTACCAAAAAGCACTATCAGATTACCTGAGGAAATTGATCAATCAAAGAAATCTATGTCAGTCAAGGATCTGAATAACAGCATAATACTTCCAGATGCCAATTCAAAAATAGTTCCATTAAATCATGACAACACATGCATTGAAAGAGAATTTGGTGTTAATAAGAATGTGTATCTAAGAAATTATGGGAGAAAGGAAAAATGGATACCAGGTCAAATTGTTCTTATAAAGTAAAAATAACTTGTGCAGATAATAAGTGTGAATCTGTCAATCCCACCAAATCTGATCAGTTCACACCAACTCAGTTTGTTCCACAACCAAGTTCTGTTGATATGAGTGAACCAAGTTGTCTGGAGTCAGAAAATGTAAATTCTGGAGTTAATGATTTAAATCCTAGACCTCCTGAGATAGAGAATCCAGATGGTCAGAATATTGAGTCACCAAATCAAAAGCCACTGAGAAGGTCAAGCAGGACAATCAAAGTCCCAAATAAGTTAGACCTATGATTTTAAAGGTCAAAAGGACTTTGACATCATTGTTTTGTATCTTGATTATGTTGTAGCATATTGTGCATTGTTTGTAAGGATGTAATCTACCATAGTGTTCATGTTACAATATAATTGGTGATTTTAGGATACTATCAATTGTTCTATTGAGAGATGTGTTATTGTGTTCTAAGGGTAAAGGGATGTAATAGATTGAGATAATTGTGAGGTCAAGGGAACTCACTCTTCTGTATTAGTATTATATTTATATTGTTATCTTGAGTGATGTCCCTTGTGCATTGTACTTCCTTCCTCTCTGTGTGGTACTATCAGGTAGTTAGACCCAATAAACGTTATATACAACCACATGCTTCTATCGTCAATCCATTATAATACTTTTATGTATTAAATATTTAGAGAATGTAAATTAACTTAGGATTAATTAAATGTAATGTAATGTGTGTATGCTGTATACGCATTGAATTTTTATAATTCGTCTAAAAATATTTATTATGAAGTATGTAGATAGTAATTATTTTAAATTTAAGATTAGTAGCATTTAAAGGAATGCTTTAAAGTCCACGTTTTTCGGTAAACGGAAAAAAAGTCACAGGAAAAAAAAACAGAAAAAAAGTCACAGTTTTTGCTAGGAAAAAAAGTCACAGTGGAAAAAAAATTTTGGAAAAAAAGTCACAGAAATATTTTTAGAAATATTTTTTTTTATTTGTTTAGAATTGTAAAATTTTGTATGTTTCTTGTTGTGGGTTGTATTTTTTTATAGCATAAATTATTTATAGACGTTAAAAGCATTATGGTTTATAACAATTGTAAGTAAAAAAATTCTAATATAATTTACACAACAATCTCAACTTTTGTTACGTATTTAGTTAAAAATGCGGTAGAAAATTTAACTATAAAAAATTTAGGCAAATTTTGCCGTAGGCTATTCTCTGGTCGGCCTCTCCTCAATAGGCATTGTCCGAACATATTTTGTGTTGTTGACGTCATACGTCAATGACAGCATTTGAACCTTGTCGGCTTTCTTTTTTTATCCTAAATGTTGTTATGTAATGAGCGTGATAAATGTGGGCAGTAAAGGTGGTTGAACTAAACATAACTATCGTGGCCATGAGTTGAGGGCAGCAAGTCAGACGAACTTACCATTTCACGGTAATTTAATGTTGGTATTTAAAAAAAACAGGATTAAAACCGTGGACTTTGGAGCATTCTATTAAACGCTACTAATCTTAAGTTTAAAATAATTAAAATCTACATACTTCATACTAAATATTTTTAGATGAATTATAAAAATTCCTATGCGTATACAGCCTACACACATTACATTACATTTAATTAATCCTAAGTTAATTTGCACTCTCTGAATATTTAATACATAAAAGTATTAACAAGTATCATGCAAATATATATTTGTGACTTTTTTTCCTGTGACTTTTTTTCCTGTGACTTTTTTTCCTGTGACTTTTTTTCCTGTGACTTTTTTTCTGTGTTTTTTTTTTCCTGTGTTTTTTTTTCCTGTGACTTTTTTTCCTACAATCCGTTTTTCATCGTGTTTTTTTTAAATACTAATATTAAATTACCGTGAAATAGTAAGTTCATATGACTTGCTGCCCTCAACTCATGGCAACAATAGTTATGTTTAGTTCAACCACCTTTAACGCTCACATTTATCACGCTCATTACATAACAAAACTTAGGATCAAAACAGAAAGCCGACAAGGTTCAAAGGCTGTCATTGACGCATAACGTCAACAACACAAAATATGTTCGGACAATGCCTACTGAGGAGAGGCCGACCAGAGAATAGCCTACGGCAAAATATGCCTAAATTTCTTTTATAATTAATTTTTCTACCGCGTACTTAACTAAATACGTAACAAAAGTTGAGATTGATGTTTTAATTATCTTAGAGTATTTTTACTTACAATCGTTATAAATCATAATGCTTTTAACGTCTATAAAAAATTTATGCTATCAAAAAATACAACCCACAACAATAAACATACAAAATTTTACATTTCTTAACAAATTAATAAAAATATTTCTATAAAGATTTTTGTGACTTTTTTCTGTGACTATTTCTGTGACTTTTTTTCCATAAAATTTTTCCACTGTGACTTTTTCTGTGACTTTTTTTCCTAGCAAAAACTGACTTTCAGTAGCGTAGCGAGGGGGGGGGGGCGGGGGGGAGGACATATGTCCCCGGGCGCCGAGCTTATGGGGCGCCTAAATGGGTTGGAAAAATAAATTGAAAGGTTGAGGGGGGTGCAAATTGAAAGTTTGAGGGGGGGGGGTGCAGATCAAAATGTCGAGGGGGGGGTGCAAATCGAAAGTTTGAGGGGGGGTGCGAATCAAAATCTCGAGGGGGGGGGTGCAAATCGAAAAGTTTGTCCCCGGGCGCCGGGAAGGGTCGCTACGCCTCTGCTGACTTTTTTCTGTGTTTTTTTTTCCTGTGACTTTTTTTCCGTTCAACCACTCCTTGCCTACGCCACTGAAAACAACTCACGGTATTTCAAGTTTATCTTAAATCTCACAAATGGTGTTGGATCGAGCAAGCATACTCTTACTTAGTCGCGAGTATATTAAGTCGCGCTTTTCTTCATAGTATAGTCATTTACATGATCGGCCAAGTGCATTATTATATATTTAAAGAACATCTTTTTTTCTTACTCTTTAGCGTATTACTACATAAAAGTTTGTTTTTAAAACGTTTTTATTACATTTAGAGAAAAAACAGCTTTGAGAGAGATGGTAGGCTAAAGTTTGATGTCATTTTATGTTTTGGGTCCGGTCTTTTTGTGATTACGACGTTGTGGATGGGGTGAGGTGCTCTAGAGATAGATAGTTAAAGGCCTAATATTATATATGGGAGTAGTGTCTACATATCTCTAACTGTCATATTTTAGTGCTATATAGTTTTTATATGTGGATGTGACCTAAATCTTGGAATAGATATGAAATGAGCAATTAACTGCAATAGCTTCATAATTATTCGGTATTGTTAGATGCTTTTCTGTTGCTAGTGTGCCCTTTTGTCCCAATCCAAATAGATCTAACCGGCTTCCTGTATTGGAGTCTCTCCCCTTGTCAATAATGCGCATGGGAAGAAATTTTGACTGATAACTTGAATATACGTCGGCCCTATTGCGACAAATACATTTTAAAATCGTAGATTCCAATAAAGATCCGAATCTAGGATCTCGATCTATTAGAAGCAATGGCAGATTCAAGTCTGGACGACTTTTTTGCCAAAAAAGACAAAAGTAAAAAGAAATCTAAACCAAAATCTGGTGGTGGTGATGTGGAAGCAAATACGAATACATCAATGAAATCTACAAGTACAAAGACTAAAGATAAAAAAACGAAAGACAAGGACAAGCTGCACTCAACTAGTGGAACATTAAATATTTTGACAAATCAACAGGTATGTTCAAACTTAAAATGTTGACATACTTAACTTACTAGACTAGTTCTAGATGATAGATCTCTCTCTAGAAGAATAGAATTATAGAATTCAAGTCTAGCTATCTGTATCTAATCTAGTTATCTACATCTAGCTAGATCTAGAGCATGGGTTCCAAACCTGGGGGTCACGAAGGGATTTCTGGGGGGGTCGCCAACTGGTAGACTAAACTCTAGCAATGAATAAAAAACATAGATTTTTAGAAAAATAGGCCTAGGCCAGGGGTCGGCAACTTTTTGAAGCGGAAGAGCCAAAAGTTATAATTTTCAAAATTTCCCTGGTTTTAAAGAGCCACTAACATTTTTTTATTTTAAATATTTTATTTTTTTATTAAGATTATTAGTATTTGTTCAAAGAGCTGGAGAGCCGCATCTTGATATCAAAATAGCCGCATGCGGCTCGCGAGCCGCAGGTTGCCGACCCCTGGCCTAGGCCTATTTGAAATTCGGCATTACTAACATCACTGGAAATGGAATAGAGAATAAACAATTTGTAGGCCTACTGTGCAAAGTTGTTCTTAGTCAGGAGTCTATGAAAACTTCCAAACGTCTATTTGAGACGAGTCATTCAGAACACACCAAAAAAGATATGTAGTTCTTTCGTCGGCATAAAGTTAGTTGCAAACGTCAGAGACTTGATCGAACAAAACGTTTTCACCAAGAAAATACAGCATTAGTGCAAGCATCATATGAAGTAGTATTAGAAATTGCCAAGCAAAAAACCTCACACAAAGGAGAAAATCTCATCAAACCATAAAGATAGTAAAATTAATTCTTGGGGATTCCAGTGCAGTAAAGATGCAACAAATATCTCTGTCTAATAATACTATGCAGCGGCTTATGTTAAAAGACAAATTTAGAATGAAATCAAGCTGGTTGGCAGCTGACACTATGAAATCCTCTAGGGACAGCTCGAAATGTATACAGCCTAATGTCTCTTTATCTTACAACAATAACAAAACAAAATCCTCAGCAGACAGTGAATCCTTGAAAAAGCCTTGAATTCAGAAAATCAATCCAAGGCACTGAAAAAGCCTTAGATTCCACCACAAAAAGGAAAGGTAAAACCTGGAATTTCATCAGTAAACCTTGAAAATGGGACTTGATAAGTTTTTGGTTAATTTTTTTTTGTTTCTCTGTATTAGATCTAGAATCTAGTAGGCCTACTCAACATTTTTTCCCCGCTCTTTTCGGCACTGTCAAGGAGTCAGTAAAAACACACCAACCTCGCATCTTTTCTCACGTAGGCATGCCTAGATACCCCACCCCTCCCTCTCATTCTTGGTAGCGCCGCTGATGACTTTCTCCTTTTGAAATGACGTCATATAACTTAAGGGGCACAGCTGGTAGCTATAACAAGGGAGGGATGGGATAGGAAAGTCACTACATTAGAATCCGTTGAATGATCGTCCTGCATAGGGGGTCATGGTTAGCACATGCTTTAAAAGAGCACTTTACACTAGAGACTGAGCTACTACCTTCAATGACTAAACAGAGTGCCCAGAGTGCACTGCCAATGATACCTAGACGGTCACCAAGGGTTGTTCTACCTTATTTAAAATTATCTATAAATATAATGCCTAGTAATACATGACCTTCTATCTAAGTGATTGTGCACATTTTATTATTATTAAATAACAAAATGTGGAAGAAACAGTTTTTTAATAGTGTTCCAAAGTTTCAAATATCGGACCAGTAGGGACAAGTGGTAGGTGAAATAGAGTTCACCTGTTTGTGACCACAGCATATGAATGAAGAGTTTGGTCAGTGTGACTGAGATGTGGCGTCTTTTTGTATGTGGGGGTCTGGCTTACAAAAAAAGTATAAATTTTGTAAACCTATTTAAAAAATACTTAGTATGTTTATTTTTAAAAAGTGTAAAAATATGCATGTGAATAAATAGGGTGGGATAAAGATAGTGAGTAATGAGTCCACTAAAGGACTGTATATGGAAATTAATATGGAAAAAAAAAGCGATCATAAAATAGTCAGGGTTTTCATTACTTTTTCAATGGGGTTTTTAAATTTTTCATACTTGGTTTCATGGTTGGTAAAATTAGGTATTTTAATTTCCCTATAAACAAATGTAAGTGGCACCTCAGACCTTGCTTGTCAAAATTTAACAATTTGACTATCACCAGTAACTGACTTCATTTAACAGTGGCCTATGAAAAATATTTAATTTGCTTAAATTGGATTTCTACTTCCAGGAACTAAACACAGTAGAAATTTTAATTCCACAAAATAAATAGAATGATTAATTATGTAATTAATTTTGAAAAGGTAACTCTGGGTGCATCAACAAATTATTTGTTTTTCTTTGATTCACTTTTTTAAGGAGGATGAGGAATGGAAAGATTTTGAGGAAGAAAAAGAAAAAGACTACTCAGGTCTCCGCATTCAAAATTTGCAGATAACGTAAGTTAGTGTATTTTAATTGCAAGCAAACAAAAAATAAGTTTAAGGAAATTAAAAATACTCCTTTAAAATAAGAAAGCGCAAACATCATAAGTTAAAAGAAATATTTTGCTTTTTATGTTTCACTATTAATTTTTTTTTTGGTACAGTAAAGAACAGGATGATAGGGAAGCAGCAGATTCTATCGACAATGGTGATGATGATGATAGAGATAACAAGGACAGACGAGATGGGGCATCTGGGCCATGGAATAAATCAAACACACTTTCAACAACAGGTCTTAAATATCATTATTATATTTATTAGCCAGGGTTTCTGCTACCTTCTAAACTTACTGGACATCCTAGATATTAGAAACTTAATGTGTTTTGAAAAAAGTGTCTGCAGTTATTTCTAAATAGTCCTTGTACTTTGCAGTTAGCAAAAATATTAACATTTCATAAAATTTAATGCTGGTAACAAACATTGAAAGGTATATTCAAAGAAAAATGTATAGCTTCTTTCTTTCTTTTTATTTTCTTTTTATTTTGTGTAAGCTGTCCTGTACTACATTATATCCTAAGCTTGGTGCCAGGTTGATAGTTTTCAAAAAGACAAAATGGATTATCAAAAAAAAAATCAGCAAGTGAAGCAGAAGTACCTACTGCATTAAGAAATGCCTGAGATTTGTACAACCATATCAAGAAAATCCAGAAAAATCAAGTAATCTAGAGAGGCCAATAGCATTTAAAGAAAGTGCAGTGCAAATGATGAATAGAACACTTTCAAAAACTGTTAAATAGCCCAACATTTTAGTTCACCCAAGATATTCAATCTGATTTTCGCAGGACCCTGACTAAACGTATAATTTTATCAATAAATGTAAAATAAATAAATGGTTTAACCCTTATTTACAGCCAGCATTAATAATGTTCTCTAGCAAATGTATTATAAATTATCATTTGTCCTCTTTAGTAGTATTTATAAATGTTTTTTGTATATTTTTTAGTCAATGCCCTTGATATTCACTAAACCATATCTACCACATAAAGAAATTACATATGTTATTCTACAATATTTTTCGTAGCTTGTCATGTGATTCAGCCTCTAATTTTTATCAAAGCACCAGTCCAAGTACAAATCCACCATCATGAGCCAGATAGGGAAGAAACAACGCCTAAAGCTCCTGCAAAATATGTTCCTCCTGCACAAAGACACACAGCTCATTCTTCAGTAAATACACCTAATTTCCCTTCATCTCGTAAGAAAAAAGAGGCACCAAATGTCAATAGTGAAGAAGATTTTCCTACCTTGGGTGGTGCATCTACTACTGGAAAAAGGTGATTTATTAGTTTTACTACTATTGAGGTTATTAAACTGTAGAAGATGGTTGATCTATATGCTTATGCAGTCATGATCACACATCTAGTAAGTGACAGTCAAATTAGTAGACATTTGGATTTTGACATCCAAGTTATGGTATTATTTAAGCAATTTACAGATTTGCCTTCATTAAAAGTGAGTTCTTTAAAAAAAAAATTGAAATAACGTTTGGAGGGCAAATAAACCTTAAGTTTTAAAATTTGTAATCAACAAAAATTTTGAATTTTTTTTTTTGTTGTAGCTTGCATTTTCTATTGTACTTTTTATGTTTTTCATGCTACACACCTTCTTATCTAAGTTAGCCTAAGGCCAAGGCTATTCCCAGCCGGTTGGGAATAGCCGTATTGGGGCTATTCCCAGCCGACTGTGAATAGCCCCAATACGGCTATTCACAGTCGGCTGTCATTTCATGCTAAATACGACCGTGAATAATATCTTAAAATAATAAAAGCATTTATTGTGACTGGGGAATGAGGTATAGATTAAGAGAGCAGTGCGTTTTTTATTTTGTTATAAAAAAGTTATTACAATTAAAGTTTAGTTTAGCTTTTAGGCTCATATCAGACATATCTGCTACAGGCTACGTAGGTCATAGATGATCAATTATGCACTCTAAATCTATACACTAGAATATAATCAGCTATAATTCACCGTTTCCATCACACTTTTGTGTTTTTTCCTCTCTCTTTTTTTTTATTTATTTATTTTTTTTTTTGCTGATATGCCAACAATAACGTCACAAAAAAAAATTAACAAAAGTAACCCTTCGATGAGTAACATAAGTAACTGAAAAAATATTTTGATATCTATATATATAATTCTCTTCTGGGAGCCGCTAGAAAATAAGCTGCAAACGCGCTCCCTACCGTCCCCACCCCTAAATGGTCTGGTGAGTTGTGGTTCACTCTTTATGTTTACAAACATTACAAACACAGCCGGGTTTAGTGACGACTATTAGGGGCAGATAATTTAGATTGAAACGATTTTAAACGAAGGGGGGGGGGTAACTAAGTGGAGTTAACTTTAACGGAGGGGTGGGGGTGAAGGACGGGGGGGGGGGGGGGGGTTATCGTCCTTACCGAACCACTTATAGTGTTTTAAAGGAATATTTTCAGTGGCAGCGTTGGTAGTGTCGAATTCACAAAATTCACAAATTATGAATAACTGAAAAGTAGAAAAAACAACAACTAAATAGCGGCGTATGATATGCCGCGGGTCGGCTCGTTAATATTAAGATTGAAAGGCATAGATTAAGAGTCATAGAAAAAGGGCATCTGACGGGTTTGAACCCACACCTTCTGGCACGGCAGCCACTCCCAATGACCGCTCGACCACACATCTTCATGCCAAATTAGGTATTTTTAACATTAAATCTATCAAAAACGGTCCCGTGAATACGACTGTGCATAGCCCCAATACGGCTATTCACAGTCGACTGTGAATAGACACTTCGTTAGCCTAATATCTACCACTAGGCCCACTTCAGCTTTTTAGTTTATGAATTGACTTAACTATTGACATTTATTGTTTGTTGAAAGAGTGATTTACAATAGTTTATCTCTTGTCCAATAATGCCACAATAATGGAATTATCTTTTTAAACTTGTTCTTGGGTTACTATTGGTCAATGCTTTTCCTATCTCAAGCACTACAGGGCTTAACTGATATTATAATATTACTAACAACATACTGCATGGATTTGGAGACACTTTTAAAAGGACTACTCCTGTTTAGAGTTGTAACAACAGTAATATTGTTGATAGGATGATACTGTTGTTATTGTGGGTTTTTTTCCTCCCCCCACCCACCCACCCTCCCGTTCTTCTCCTTCCTCCACCCCCCCCCCTGTCATTATCATCATTATGTAATTAAAGGCCTTAGTTATCGCTCAGGCATCTTATATAATATATAGGCCTGTGGTTTTTTACTTTATTGTATACAGAGTATAGAGGAAGTATTGTAATCGTGCACAAAAATCACATGAAATTTTGACAGTTTTCATCGTTTTACACCTCAGTACTTCATCATATACAGAGTATAGGGGACTTATTTCAATCAGACAAAAATTATAGATGCAGATTTAATCAAAATTTCAGTATTCTGTGCGTTATCAAGTAGGAAAAACTGGGCTTTGCAATTCTGTCTGTGTCTGTAAACACGATAACTTGAGTACCGTTACAGCTGGGTTCATGAAACTTTATATACAAGTATTATATAAAATTTGTAGTTCTGTATCAACTTTTCAGTGATTTCCGGTAACCGGAAGTGAAACTTATTCTTTCAATTTTTCAAAAGCCTATAACTTGAGTACTATTTCAGATAGATAAACGAAATTTCACAAATAAGTAAAATCTAATTGTCTTTTTTTTTCAAATTTTGAGTAATTTCTGTTAACTGGAAGTAGTGATTTACGTCATTTCCGATTTCTAAAAAAAAGCATGTGAATTTATTAAGTTCTCATAATATTCTGCACTATTATATAGACGAGAAAAATGGCCCGTTGGGGAAGGATACAACGGGCGCTAGGTTGATAGTGCTGTCTATTTTCTCAAAACCAAAGCCACCACCTTAACCTCAAATTGAATCGGAAACGACAAATTACTTTGCAAACGGATTTTTATCAAGAATCGTCATTTGATGTACACTTAGTAAAAGTTAGTTACCGCGCATTGACACTAAATACAGTCGTAGCCACACCCCTAAGTAATGCACCTAATCTCAATCATGACAAAAGTCGCATTTACTTGTGGATAGGGGGCTTCCCCCCACCCCAAAGCACGTCTACCGTCCCATTCAACGAAATATAATTATATACATTTTCCACTCACAGAAAAATCCCCCCTGCCCCCGAAAATTTTCAAGAACCCCCCCCCCCCACCTCCCTCTCCGGGGATGAAAAAGTCTGAAAGAAAAACTGGTGTCGCGCTTAGCCACTACCCGAAGAATTCTATGAAAGAAACTCTAAATGCAAAACACTTTTAAGTTTATACACATTAATTAAGCCTGTAATGTCAGTCTTTTTTATTATAGAGTATCGATGACGTCATATCTTTTGAGTTGGGGGGGGGGCTTAGATGTTCTACCGGGGGGGAGGGCTTCGCCCCTACCCAAAGAATTGTATGAAAGAAACTTCACGCAAACCACTCCTAAGAGCAGACAACATTGGCTTTTTAATTCAATGTTTACTCGAGAATCAATGACGTCATATTATTGTGTGCACTCTCCGGCTTAATACTATTTTCAACTATATTCGCAATGTGACGTCATGTTTCGTTTTACTATGCATGTTTTTAATTTGCTTGCGTTCTTGTCTGATAGATAGTTACACAGATAGACAGCGAAACTATTATTATAGATGAGAAAAATGGCCCGTTGAGGAAGGATACAACGGGCGCTAGGTGATATCTATTTTCTCAAAACCAAAATCACCACCTGTACTTCAAAATTAAACAGTAACGAAAAATGACATTGAAAACTGGTTTTTATCCAGAATCGGCATTTAATCGGATTTAAGCATGATCTACGCGTAGTTATCGCGCATTTATACTAAATATAGTCGTAGCCATATCTCTAAACCATGCACCTTATCTCAATCATGACAAAAGTCGCATTTAGAGTTTTTTTCAGGCAACTCTACGCCATTCCCCCCACACACACACCACAAAACATGTCTACCGTCCCATTCAACGAAATATAATTATATACTTTTTTCCCCTCCCAGAAAATTCCACCCCCGCCCCCGAAAATTTCAAGTACCCCCATCCCTCTCGGGGGAGGAAAATGTCTGAAAGAAACACTGGTCGCATTTGTTGATCATACAAAATAAAGGTAGAGCCTGGAAGAGCTGCATGAAAGAAACTGCGCGCTAAACACTTTTTAGATTAGAAAATTTCAAGTTCCCCGCTCAGGAGAGGAAAAAGTCTGAAAGAAACACTGGTGTTGCGCTTAGCCACCACTCGAAAAATTGCATAAAAGAAAATGCACGCAAACCACTTTTTAGCATAGACACATTAATAAGGCGGTAATTTTATTATAGAATATCGATGACATTTCTTTTGAATAGGGGGGGGGGGGGGCTTCGCCCCTTCCCGAAGAATTGTATGAATGAAACTCTTCACGCAAAACACTCAGATTAGACAAATTGGCACTCTCCCGGCTTTCGACTCTTTTCTACTATATGCTGAATATGACATCATATTTCGTTTTACTATGCATGTTTTTAATTTGCTTGTGTTTTCTCTATAGCGTTCTTGTCAGATAGATACACAGACAGCGAAACTATTAGTATTAACGAGAAAAATGGCCCGTTGAGGAAGGATACAACGGGCGCTAGGTTGATAGTGCTATTTCCTCAAAACCAAAATCACCACCTTAATTCAATTTAACCGTAAACAAAAAATGACATTGAAAACGGATTTTTATCCAGAATCGGTACTTTAATTTATACAAAATATAGTCATAGGCATATCCCTGAACCAAGCACCTAATCTCATTCATGACAAAAGTCGCATGTAGTTTTAGAGTTTCTTTCAGGCAACTCTACTTGGGAGGAGGGGGCTCCGCCCCCCACACACACCCCAAAACATGTCTACCGTCCCATTCAACGAAAATAATTATATACTTTTTCCAGTGTCCGCCCCCCTCCCAGAAAATTCTACCCCCCCCCCCCCCCAAAAAAAAATTCAAGTACCCCCACCCCTCGCCGGGGAGGAAAATGTCTGAAAGAAACACTGGTCGCATTTGTAGATCATACAAACTAAAGGAAGAACCTGGGCGGGGAAGAGATGCGTGAAAAAACTGTGCACTCTAAACTTTTTAGATTAGAAAGTTTCCCCCCTCCGGGGAGGAAAAAGTCTGAAAGTCGATGAAGAAATTTCTTTTGAGTGGGGGGGGGGGGGGTTCGGCTTAGACGTTGTTTCTCGAGGTTGGGGCTTCGCCCCTATCTGAAGAATTGTATGAAAGAAACTCTTCACGCAAGCCACATAGATTAGACAAAATTGGCTTTTTAATTCAATGTTTACTCGAGAATCAAAGACATTATTTTGTGCACTCTCCCGGCTGTCGACTTTTTTCTACTATATGCTGAATATGACGTCATATTTTGCTTCCGCTTTACTGTGAAAGTTTTTATTTTGCTTGTGTTTTCTCTACAGCGTTCTTGTCAGACAGATAGATAGATAGATAGATAGATAGATAGATAGATAGATAGATAGATAGATAGATAGATAGATAGATAGATAGATAGATAGATAGATAGATAGACAGCGAAACTAGTATATAGAATTGTTTGGCATTCACTTGGTGCGCAATTCTTTTTTCTATGAGATTCTATTCTATTTTTAAGTTTAAAAATCATGTCTATATCGCAAGTTGCCATCCCCCATAGTGTAATATAAGAATACGAGCCGACCCGCGGCATATCATACGCCGCTATTTAGTTGTTGTTTTTTCTATTTTTCAGTTATTCATAATTTGTGAACAGAGTTTCTTCCAGGCATCTCTTCGGGGGGGCAAAGCCCCCCCCCCCCCCGAAAATTTTTTACCGCACCCCCCCCCCCCGAACAAAATGAAATTTATATAGAAAATATATACTTTTAACAGTGTCCGCCCGCCCCCAAAGAAAGTCTACCGCCCCCCCCCCCCCCCCCCCCGAAAATTTCAAGTGCCCCCCCCCCGAAAATTTCAAGTGCCCCCCCCCCCCCCCCCCGGAGAAAAAAGTCTGGAAGAAACACTGTGAATTCGACACTACCAACGCTGCCACTGAAAATACTTCTTTAAAACACTATAAGTAGCTCGTTAAGGACGATATCCCCCCCCCCCCCCCGTCGTTAAAGTAAACTCCACTTAGTTTACCCCCCCCCCCCCTACGTTTAAAATCGTTTCAAACTAAATTATCTGCCCCTAATAGCCGTCACTAAACCCGGCTCTGTAAACAATTACAGTGAACCACAGCTCACCAGACCATGTAGGGGTGGGGGTGGTAGGGAGCGCGTTTACAGCTTGTTTTCTAGCGTCTCCCAGAAGAGAATTATATATATATATATATATATATATAGAGAGAGAGAGAGAGAGAGAGAGATTCAAGAAAGTTTAGGGGAGATCACTCCCGGTTTATTTAATATTATTTTTTACAGACAAGCACTTTACTAACATTTATTTCTTGTCCCTAAATATTGGTTTCCACACTTAATTTTACCTTTAAATGTCTTATTTCCACCTGGAACATCCTGAATGATTTTTGGTTGTATTGCCCTGGAGTCATCCATAAATCAAATGATGTTACTTTTGGCTAACTGTCTAATAGAGTAATCATCTAAAAGTAGTTTTAATATTTAATTTTTATTTACAGTAGTTTGGGGGGAAAAAAGTTGGAAATTGTGAAATAAAATAAAAAAAACACCAGATTTGATCAAGGGTGTCGCACCGTCGTTTTCTGTCATGAATAATGAAGCATGAATTGCCTTTTGTTATAGACTCCTGTATACTAAAAAAATCATTATTTAAATTTACCTATCCATATTATGTAACTTTTTAATCTTTTTATTAAAGCCTTCAGTACAGTAATACAGCCTCTTCAGACCTCATTGAGAACCCTCATCAGAGAAAAAGTGTAAACCTGACATTGGAAAACAAATTTTCAGCATTGCAAGATTGATTATTGTACAATATAATAAAAGTGTACTACTGTGTTAAACCAGCGTAAATTAATTATAACATAGCTTATTACATTGTGGACTATTATTTCTGTTCAAATTTTTCTTTCTTTTAATAAAAAAAATTTTCTAACAAGAAAGCTCATGATGCTCACTTAAATTTGAATTAAAAAAAAAAAAAAGACAGTATAAACATAAACAACTAATCATACTTTTAGAGGGAAGAATTTAGTCGACTGTACTGATTTATTTTTGTAATTAAATAAAAAATTAATGGTTGAAACTAGTTTGATTTTTCTTTATTAATTTTTTATTTGACTATATTTTTTTTTAAATAGTTTTATAAATTGCTTACACCTTGTCTAATAGTGTGTACTGGGATCTTTTTTAGCAGGAATATCTTATATTACATCCATCCATACTCTTTTCATAGGGTATGTAGTAAGGGGTCTTCCTGTATGTCCACAGTGGGGTATCAAATTAAAAATTCAAAGATCATAATTTTAGCTTGCAATTTGCATCCATCCTTCTCTATGGCTCTAAATCCTTTATATATCGCCTGATGATAGGTTTACATTCACCGTCCATTCTCAACATGTGGTTATTTTTCCCCACGTTTTCTTTAACTTGCTTTCGCGTCTGTTTGGTTCTCCAATCAAATCTTGCGATCGATATTTCGGGCACTTCCCAGTTAGCTAGCGCGCTGAAATTTTCAGGGAAGCTTTGTTTCCGATGACCATAGAATATTCAATTGTTATTATTACTAAATTGATCCATGGAAACATTTTATTGAGCATTTTAGACCGCTATATAATTGTAGTAAAAACGTGGGGAAAAGGGGATATAACCCAGTAACTAATTTGATGAAAACAAGGTTCGGTACTCTCCCTCTTTGCTTGCTGAGTAGTGTTCACGCGGTGTTTGTGTACAAACAACCGTAACAAATGGTGGCCAGAATTGGGGAGACGATATGGTCGAGGGGTTGGGCACACGATTGCTGTCCCACTCGACACGGGTTCAAATCTATGTGTTCTAGTCAGTAACGTATTCACACAACGTGTTTTTTACGAGTTGTCTTCGTTTACCCAAAAAAAAGTGAAAAGATAAAATCGATAGCAAGATTTTAATGCAAACAAACAGACAAAGACTAAAAAGTAGAAAATAATAATCATTAAAAAAGTTTTTAAAAAAACCCACGTTTTCTGATTGAACTAAAAAGTAGAAAATAATTGCTATACATCACAATAATGCAAGCGATCACTCTACTATAAGCGATCAAAAACGTGGGGCGCCGTGATTTTCTTACTGTTTCTAATACTGTTGACTCTCTACAAGCTCCCTAATAAAAGTCAATAATATTATCTAATCAATAGTAATATAAATTTTACTTCGGCGCCCCACGTTTTTGATCGCTTATAGTAGAGTGATCGCTTGCATTATTGTGATGTATAGCAATTATTTTCTACTTTTTAGTTCAATCAGAAAACGTGGGTTTTTTTAAAAACTTTTTTAATGATTATTATTTTCTACTTTTTAGTCTTTGTCTAATAAATTAACTGTACGCCTGTAACCTTTTGAAGTAACCCAACACAGTAGCTTCACGTGGCGGGGGCCTCACAATTTAGTCGTGACACCATGACGAAAACTTTCAAAACTATGTTTTATTTAGTTAAAATAATTAAATATTAAGGAGAGGGGTTAACACTCCACCGGAAATGCAAAATTGTTAAACGCACCTGGTGATATCAAACCTTGTGACGCCACTAACCAAATACAAATTTTAAAAAGTTGCTCTTGGTTTATTTAGCTTTTTTTTTCCTTTCCTATAAGTTTTCAAAGTGATTAATAATAATATGTTCCTTGAAGTCCATTTTAGCTGTTTCTGTATGTTCGATACTTGGATGGCCAAGTTACGGACCCAAAAGGCATATCTACAACTTGTTTCATAACATCATCTTGGCAATTTTTGGGTCATTTTTGTATTAATGAATCTAATATATAAAGCTCAGTTCTGTAACGTGTGGCAAAAAAGTTTGTCGTTGACAGTTCTATGGATTTAAGTGTTAGATTTTTTATCGTGCTCAAAGTCTAAATTTACGAGTCAAAAAATTACCATTGAAAGTCTTTAAAAACAATTTTCATTCTATTTACTTATAAGAATAATTTTCAATTATGAATACGACATAAAATTTTTAAAAAGTGTATCGACGTTTATAAAATTTCTAAAATTGTGTCGGAAATGTATTGACTGCACAGTTACTTCCCTTTAGATAAAAATCATTAAGAAGAAAGAATTTACTTTTTATTACTTTGTTTTGGTGTTAAGAAAAAAAATAATTACATCATTAGCGGGGATTGATTAAGTGCAATGTCGTTAGGTATTTTTAACACTGCCTTTTATTTATTCTATAGACTGAACATACTGTTCAATAATTATTTTTTTAAATCAATAACATTTAATAAGTCAGGTCCTACAAATCCTATATGTTTATTTCTTTCCATTTACGGATAAGCATGGAGTATTATCATTTTTGTTCACTAAATTGAAACAGACGCGTCCGCCGGCGCCCCTGCACGGTTCGATTTGGCACCCTGGGCTATCATGTGAGCGCTATGCTGCATAATTTTGTTTTGAACAGTGCTATAGACTATGGATAAGAAAGGTTACTATAGTCTTTAAGTGAATCAAATCCGGGCGTCCTCCGGCACCCCGACAGGGTGCTATTTGGCGCCCCGGGCCTTCCGGTGTACGCTATGGTATCTACGTTCGCGTGAGTTCAAAAGACTATGAATAAGTTATGTACTATAGTCGTTTACTAAGTTCAATCAGGCGGTGACGTCATGGTGCGTCCTCTGGCGCCCAGACAGGGTGCTATTTGGGGTCCCGGGCCTCCCGTGTTCGGTTTCGCGCCTACGTTCATTAAAGTGAGTGCAAAAGACTATGAATAAGTTGGGGTACTATAGTCGTTTATTAAGTTGAAACAGGCGATTCAGCCCCGTGAGCACTTTGCGTTTATATTCGCGTTAGTGTTTTCTTTGTGTTTAGGTTGGGTTTGCGTTAGTGGTTGCGTTTTGATTTGGTTCGGTTTTGTTCTTTCTTTTTTCGTTTGTGTTTTATTTTCATTGGGTTTGTGTTTGTATTTGTGTTTGAGGTTGGTTTTGCGTTTGGATTTGGTTTGTTTTCGTTTGTTTTTTCTTTTGTGTTTTTTTTCTTTGGGTTTGTGGTTGGTTTTGCGTTATGATTTGGTTTGTTTTCGTTTGCTTTTTCGTTTGTGTTTTTTTCTTTGGGTTTGTGTTTGTGGTTGGTTTTGCGTTTGGATTTGGTTTGTTTTCGTTTGCTTTTTTCTTTGTGTTCGTATTGGTGTTTGTGGTTGTGGTTGGTTTGTTGTAAGTTTTTGTTTTCGTTTGTATTTGTAATTGTGTTAGCGTTATGTTTGCGTTTTGTTGTTTTGGTTTTAGTTGGTTGTGGTTTGGGTGGGCTATGCCGGGTTTATAATGATTACTAAACACACAGGTGATGGTCTTTAACAGAAAGGTTTTTCACAGAAGCCAGAGCAGGGCCTGGCCGGGACGGCTAGTTAATGCATAAAGTACAAGGAGGCAGACAAACAAAAATCAAAAAGTACCGGCATATTGATGAGAGATAAATTAGATCAACAAACAAACTGTGATTAAGGTTAAAACTAGAAAAACATTGACACATTTTCGTTGTAGCTTGTTGTGAAAACACTAGTCCACGGCTTTTTTTTTTTAATTGGCTCAATTGTAATCATGGATGGATAGAATTTCGGTGAGGTCAGTCAGAGAGTTGACATGGGAGGGAGTGCAGGTTTGTGGCAGAGGGGTAGAGAGTTTTTAGCGATGCGTATATATTTGCTGGTGCCGGATGCCAATCTCACAAAAGAGTCAATGTTCAAGTTTGTTTATAGGCTAATACTCTTAACGGCATGCCAGACAATGCATTGATGCCTATAGTGTTATTAATACCGATGGGCCTTGCACAACCCACCCCCCTCCCCAATAAGAAAGGTTCGGAGCCTTTTTTTTTATTACTTCTACGGTAGAAAAGAAAGAGGAAAATTATTTTTAAAGTACAAATATTAAAATGCCAATGTTAAAGTTTTAAACAAATTAAAGAGGGAAAAGGGCCCATATTTGCCTTGGGCCCCTATGCCGTGCTTACGCTAGCTTTATGGTAGCTACGCCACCGTGCGGCGTCAAAAAGGCCAATGACAAAACGGCCCCGTCAAAACGACCCCGACAAATCGGCGTCAAAAGGGCCAGCGACATATGGACCCCGTCATATAGGCTACCGACAAATAGGCTCCCGACAAAAGGGCTCCAGTCAGTAAGGCTCCTGACAAATAGGCTCCCGTCATTTTGGCTCCCGACATATAGGCTCCCGTCATTTAGTTTTTTCCACAACACGGCCCCCGTCATTACGACTCCCGATAAATAGGCTCCCGCCATTTAGTTTCTCCACAAAACGGCCCCCGTCATTACGACTCCCGACAAATAGGCTAGCGTCATTTTGGCTCACGACAAAAAGGCTCCTGTCAACTTGGCTCCTCACAAAAGGACCACTGACAATACTGTTTCTGTAGAGACTAAGTCTCCCGGCAAAGCGGTCTCATTGAATATGACACCTGCCAGTGGGACCCCTTCATCAATATTCTTTAGAGTTAGCTTATCCAACACTCTTATGTAATACAACGTATGCATCTGTTGTTCGGCAGGCCTTATTTTATATTAGTTTATCTATTATAAAATATAGTATGTTTTAATTTAAGGGTCATCTATCTATGACATCCATAATTGAGTCGGTTATAGGCTGTTCCAACTCAGTGTGTGGGGAGAAGGGTCCACGCTATACCTTCCTACCTGCAGTATGCTTGTAGGTTATCAAAACAAAATGCTGTTATCGTGTAAACATCATATTGTATATCATACATTTAAACTTCTGTGCTCGCTTTTAAGCAACAGATATTTTCTGTTGTAAATTAAACATTATCAAAACATTAGAATTGGTGGAATTTAGCTGTTAAGGGCTCGATTTGTTTGTGAATTAATGTTGGTTCATGAAAAACAATTTCATTCGGGCATTTAAAAGAGTTTATAGTGGTATTGGTGGTAGGACAAAATGGTTACTATTATGCCAATAGTGGTCATACCATTCATTGGTCTGGAGCCAATATGTCGGGAGTCATTTTGTCAAAAGCCAATATGTCGGGAGCCCAATTGCTGGGAGCCAATATGTCGGGAGCCCATTTGTCGGTAGCCAATATGT